CTTCTTTCTCAAAAGTTTCAAATTTGAGTTTCTCACTAGATTGGAAACTTAACTTTACGTTATACTCTAAAGTAATCACTGTACTCCAGAGAAAGGGGTTCCCTGAATGGTCAGGTTTAGGCTGCATCCATGGAGGAGAGGAAGAATTTCTACCCCTTTTAAATTACACTGACTGAGCACCAGCTGGGGATGATTAGTGATTAGACCATCAGATCCTAACTGCTACTGCCAAAAAAAAGGAGTGTATGCAGAAAGCCAGTCAGGAGTATGCAGGAAAGGGAACCCACACTCAGAAGTGTCTTCTGCTTTTCTCCTAGCTGTGAGTAACTATATCAGAAATCCTACTGAATTAAATATTTATGTCTACAGTATATACCCTTTGGTCTTACAACTACTTCTAGGTCATTCAAACAAAGTAAAATTAATTGATTGACCTGGTAAATATTTGTAAACTATTATCATGCTTTCTCCATCAAGGTCAAATATTTCTACTCTTCTCACTATGCCTTACATGCCATGATTCTAAGCTCTTTGTACTTTTCATAATCTGTTGTTGATTACGTTATAGTCTGTCAGTTCTTTGAGAAGCACATTAAATAATAATTTATTAGAATTAGAAATAAGCATAGTGAAGAACTCATGTGTCTAAATATAATCCTTCATGCTAAAAAAAATGGACCAAGATAGTGGTACTGCATCCATATTAAGAAAACTAGCAAATGTAAGACCTTGGAGGACAGACAGTAAATCCTTGGGCTCTTTACTGGCTTTTTCTCACCCTGAGTAATAAAGACCATACAATGTTCAAAAAGGAGGCAACCTGGAACCACATGGTCAAGGACTCTGCTACTTGCAAGCTGTGTTCCCTAATGTGAATTATATAAGTTCTCTGACTTCTATTTCTTCCTCTCTTTAATGGAACAAAGGAATCATCTCATAGGGTTGTTGTGAAATATAAACAAGTTAATACTGGTAAAACAGGATAGCTCCTGGTCCATAGGAAGAGCTCAAAATGTGCTGTTTTCACCACTGTCTAAGCATCCTTGCCATTACATCTCCCGACACTTAAGGCATCTCATCAACACACTCCATTTCTGTAATGAGGCCTGGGTAATCTGGACTATACACAGTGATTACATAAGCCACCCAGACAGTTGCTTTCAATAACTATGTCAGAAGAAATGAAAGCACCAATATACCACAGTCATCCTAGACAACAAGGCTTCAGTTTAGACTTATCCCTTTTCTTTATTAATTCCTATTTGGAAAGAAATGTTTCCAAGCACATAGATTGCCCTAAAACAACCTGATACACAAATAGCTGAGCTCATAAAACAAATACATTAGGTGCTGAATAACCAATATGGTCATCCCTTGGTATTGCTGGGAAGGAGCTCTAAGACCCACCCCTCTACAAATACCCAATTCTGTAGACATGGAAGTCTTGTATATAAATTGGTAAAGGATTTGACATGACCTGTGTACCTCCTCCAGCATATTATATGAATATATATATGAATATATTATATGAATATATGAATATACACATTCAGTACAAATGCATTTTTCTCTGAATATTTTTGAATTACTGTTGGTTGGAGTATAGAGGATACAGAGGGAGCACTGTACATAAAGCTTCCAGTCAGAGTTGCTGCAGCTAGTGGTTCCAACAAAGGCACATCTCGGAACCTATCTCCAGGTGACTCTGGATTAACAGGCAAAGGAAAGGTAAAAGAGTAGAGAGTTCATAGATAACCCAATATCACAATTAAAAAAAAAAAAGACTCTACTCTCACATATCCAGTGATGAATGAAGTGTTTTACAGACTAGTTATGAAAGGCCCCACAGGGAATGGGAATATATTTACCTTCTCCCTTTACCCAACACAGGATCCTAGGAACAGTGTGACAGTCTTATACTAATTATCCTGGGTTTCAACTGTACTGTAACTATAGTTAATATGTAAAATGGTTAAGTCAACAAAATAATGAAGAGGCAAGTATCTTCTTGTTGAAAAAAAGAAAAGCACATAGAGAGTTAATTTTTAATTCATTTTCCAACTTTACTTGTCAAAGCAACTAGGCAATGATTGGGTAGTTTTCAATCTGACAGTCATATATCATTGCTTTAAAAATCCCAAATATTTAAGACTTTTTTCTTGCTTTTCAACAAAATTACTACTCTGAAGAAACAACATTTTGAAATGTATAAATTCAGTTAGAGGCATGAAAGATGTAGATTAATTTTTTTTTTTTGTCATTTAGTTCTAGTTGAAAGTGTTTCAAGGCACTTCTAAAGTAAATGCTTCTTATTGGTTATGCACAGTATAACAAGATTCTCCGTTCTTACAGTCTTTCTAAAAATAAGCCTTTTCCCCATCCTCCACATAAGCAAGACACTAGCAACTAAAGTTAACATGTCTTTCAGAATTTGTTTTTCCTCGAGTTTTTATTTTTAAGGTGTTTGTACAAAAACTTGAAAAAAAAAAAAAAACCTGTAAAGAATTGCTGGGCACAGAAGCACATGCCTGTAATCCCAGTAACTCGGGTGACTGAGGCAGGAGGATCTCAAGCCCAGGTAACTTAGCCAGATCCTGTCACAAAAATTAAAAATGGGCACTAATGTAGCTCAGTTGATAGAATGCCCCTGGATTCAATCCCCATTACCACAAACAGAGAAGGGGAAAAAAATAAGGGAAGAAAACAATATTCATCACCCCTAAACCTAGATTCAACTATTCAACAATATCTCGCCATATTTGTATGTGTGCATGTGCTCTCTTTCTCTCTCAATGAGTCATTTAAGATAAATAGCTGACTTAATAATTTCATCATTCCTGAAAACTTCAGTATATAAATTGGTATAGTATTATATAAATTGGTAAAGGTAAGTTAACAATTTCCTAGTGGTGTGTATAGATTGATGTGTGTGTATCCATTACACTTTCAAACATTCCCAGGTGGCCCTAAAATGTGTTTAGGACTGTATCTTCTTTTTTTTCCCCCAAATCTCTTATCAATTTGTCATGAATTTGTGTTGTCCTGAAAAAATGTCACATGCTCACTAAACATGCAGGGTCCACAAAGGAGGCCGATCAATCCATGGAGGGGCATGCTGTGGCCAAGAAAACAACTTCCTGTTTCTATAGCTTTGAACTTGAATTTTTCTTTTAAAAGTAAACAAATTCTGTGCTTTACTGTCTGGTCTACAGAAGCATTTATGATGTCTACTCAGATGTTTCTATAATTGAAGCAGCAAAAAACTGAGCCAAAGAACATGAGTATTGCCTCAGAAGTTCTCCTTGTCTTGTATTTTCCACAAATCTTTAGTTCTGAGTAAATGCTGCCCCCTCATTCTACGTGAGTAAGCACATCTTAGTAAAAGCTCATGGGCAATGCTGTGAGAATCCTCAGAAGCCCATTTCTGGCCTTGTAACTTGTATATTTTATTCTAATGTTGATGTTCAGAAGTTAGGAGGAGGATAACTATGGTAAAAGCAGTGGTGGTGCTGGTGGTGGTAGAGATGATAATGGTGAGGTCACGGTAATGGTGGATGTGGTAGTTCCAACTTCAGGCCCTTGCTCTAAAACAAATATACATGCAGGAATATCAACCATAATTACATTTGATCAGGAATCCTCCAGTACAGATTTTAGATAAGAGCAAACTGTCACTGATACCCAAGGAGTTTTCTTCCACCTGTAATTTTATAAGCATTGAAAGCTTTTCTTTCTTAGAGTATGGAGAATAATAAGTATTTTAACAATTGTGTCATCACATATCTACTAACATCTCATTTCAGTTGGGATTATGAACAGAGCAGGTTACCAGACTATAATAACCAACCAAGATGAAAGTTTTTCAGAGAATCTCTGCTAATAACTGGCAATGCCTTGTATCCAAGAGCTTAGCTTCATTATTTGAGACACCCACTTAGACCCATGACATATTATTGCACCTATAATCATTTTACAAAAGTTTTTGTTTTTTGACCAATTACTGAATAGCCTCTGTATTCACCTCTTTAAGGTCTGCTTGATAAGATGTTCTAGAGAGTACAAAGTAATATTCATTGTAGGTCCCTGTGAAATACAATGCACACCTGTGTGTCTGGCATCAGCATCTCCAGACATGTAGGAGTTCTAAAAGTCAAAGATACTCATTGCTTAACTTCTACCTTGGGCATAAATGACTATCACTTGCTCATCAGCTTCTATTGACCTTGGTTGTGCAGTGAATAAATAAGTTTCACATGATTTCACCAATTATTTACATTGCTGAAATATTATAAACCATCTTAAAATTAGTTTCATGATCCAAATAGTTTTTCACTCATCAGATGAGTGTGCACATTTAAAACCAGGTATTGTGGATATCTAGAAATTATTTTAGAATCATCCTGAGTTCAAATGCAATAAAACTATGTTGCTGGAACTTCTTATATCAACCTAGTATGTATTTAACTATAATTATGGAAAGAAGAAATATCATAAACACCCAATGAATCCCAGCAGAGATTCTGGGAGAAAGCAAAACATCTATCTTGAGAAGGTCCATCACAGGCAAGTTTGAAACATGTTCAAAAACATGACAAATCTAATCTTTAAGTATTTATTAAAAACAGTCCTAACATATATACATAGTTTATACAACAAAATAAAACCTTCATGTGAATAATTTTAGCAACTCTGGCTAACAATTATTATCAACTGTCTCTCAAAAAATTTAAAATAGATTTGCCTTAGAGATGAGAAAGGTATCTATACGTTTTGGTCTTTGAGTTCCCCTCAGTGGAATCTGAGGGACTCACCTGCAGAAAAGAGGTATGTTATTTCTGATTGTACAACTGATTCTCTTCTTCAATTGATTAATACCAGAAGGTTTACAAATACAAAGTCAAACATACAGAAAAATATGGTTTTGGTTAGAGAAATTGGCTTGATTCAGTCATACAAATGTAAGTTTAAAAAACAAAGAATATTTTAAGAAGACCGCATACCTGCTCTTTGGATGGCACAAGAAGTTCTTCAATCATCATGCTGTCCCGTGCATAGGAGCTTCTGTTCAAGGTGTAAGACCTATCCGAACTGAAGGAGCGGAGGCTGTTGTATTTACAGTTAACCATTCAACAGTGGTAGATGATGATGAGATGAATAAAAGAAAATTAATGCATGCAACTTTAGGAACAAGCAAGATGGCTAAAAATATCGACAAATGCTTTCCTTGAAAGGACATCATCAAAAATAAAACTATGTTTGAGTCAATGTCTTTACCATACACAAACTCACGATCAGGTTTTGTTTAAAATTAGGCCAATTGGTATTAACTCTGTGAGAAGATGAAATGCATGAAAACTTTGGATGTTTCACCATACAGCTGAACCAACAGAACACTTAGAAGAACCTCTGGGTAATTGACAGTTGTTTTTTTTTTTTTTTAGGATTAGACTGCATTTTAGAGTTTCCTGTCTTTCTGGTTCATGTCTGCTTACTTTGCGCTATTGACTGGAATTATGTCTGCTGTGAATGCATCTATTTATAAGTCTTTGGGAACCATACATGGGAGAGCTCTGGTTTGTAGTTGCTACTCATGGAAAACATCAAGAAGGAAGAGTGTTATTAATATACCTGTCTGACATCTTTATCATCTTTCTGGCCTTTAGGAAACACTTAATTTCCTTGCATGATTAGTCTATCCTTCCTGCAAATACTTTTTTTTTCCCCTTGGTTCGACTCTTTTTTTCCTCATTCCTTTTATTGCTCTCCTTTCAAATCTTTCTCAAGCCCTCCATGTAATCTTTGAACTTCTCAGAGTGCAGCTCCCTCTAATGCCCTGAAGTACCACTCACCACACTGATCTGTAAAGTAAGGCACTGGAGGAGCACAGCTGTCTTGTCATGTTGATGACTTTGCATATATCCACATAAATCATGCCAAGATTGAGATTACAATTAATCTGGGTCTTGGATTAATGCCTTGTGATCCTTCAGGAACAGAGAGGATGGGGATTTAAGAGGAACTGAGGTCATCTCCTACTTACCTCCCTGTCTTACCTGGCAGGCTGTAATAAGACAGTTTTTCATTACCTCACCTATCTAATGAGGCATGAGGCTTCCTGTCTTGTCCTTCTTAGAATAGCATTGCAGAATACAAAACTGCTTAGCTGAAGTCAAGAACTGTCTCTTTAGCAATGGGGTATCCCCAAACTAGACATCTAGCCCCCTTGGTTTTGGTGTCCTTATCCATATAGAGACAAAACTATGGGAAAATTTCTTCTTTTCACTACCTGTATAATTAATAAACTGTCAATCTAAATATTGTTTATTGTATCTTTACCAGCTGAATCAGCCAAACATTGGCTCTGTCCTTGCCTTGTGTATGACAGGGGAAAGAGCAAATAAGAGGTAAATAAGGAATGATTTCTCGCTTTGCATGAAATGATTTCTTTTCCTCACTGCCTACTATTCTAAAGATTATCTGAAACAGAGACCTCTGAGATATTATAGGCATTGTTCTACGTGCCTACACAAATGGCTAGGTATACATTCTAGGATTAGAGCCTTAGTGGTGATGAGAATCTCAGACTGATCCCCTATTCAAAAATATCATTGTTCCACAGTCATTATTTAGTGTATTCAGCAAATACACACTGAATAAGCATTATCCCTCAGAGGAGCAGTTGTCCAGTAAACCACATGACTCTAACCATTTGGACGGCCAGGCCCTCTGTGCCCAGTCATATCATGTCACCCATAGCTCTTCCTTTCCTTTGTTTCAGTTGCAACTCTTTCTTTCTGTTACTCCTGTCTCCAGTCTCTTAACTTCTTTCAAATACGGAAGAAGCTTCGTAAAAGTAGGAATTATTCCTAACTCAACAATGTCCAATTGAATTTTGTGTTATGCTGGAGATGTGCTAAATCTGTGTGGTCTAGTATCATTGGCCACTGGTCACATGTGGCTATTGAGCACATAATTGGCTAGTATGGCTGAAAATGGATTTTTAACTAATCTGAATTTAAACAGCCACATGAGGCTAGTGGCTGCATTATTAGTGCACCTTTTATGTACTCATGGTAATATTCCATCTTGCTCACTGATATGATTTAGAAGCACTAGAAGCTGTGCTCTCTGCATTGGACACTCTTTCTTCAAATTATAATTTCCACTGCATGACATATTAACAATGGTGGCACCTGAAACAGTTTTATTATATAATGTGTACAAATACTAAAAGTTTTAAAATAGATCACAAATTCATTTTAATTCCAGTTTTTAAATATATCTAAGATTTGTTGATAGTTTTTCAACATTCTTTCCTCCATTTAGTTTATTATATGAGTGGCAACTGCAGAACAGAGCACAGAACTGGGAACAGGAAGTCCTAGTTCTGATTCCTGATCATTCCTGACCAACTTACATTAGACAGATGGAACCCATTAAATCCATGAAGCTTCACTCTGAATCCTTAATACAACGAAGTAATTTGGGGTATTAAAATTATTGATTATTTCTTAGGGGTCTGGAAAGCATTAGTTTTAAACTAAGGTTGACAATATTATTTGTAGCCATCCCTAAGTGTTAAATATGGGAAGTGTTAGAAAAACATGCCTTGGAATTCTAAAATTATACTAGTATATCTAGCACAACTCAAATAAAACAGCAACCAGCAAACAAACAGCTTTTCAAATCAAGACTTTTTCTTTAAATTTAGCGAAACTCTTTCAGTTACTTCATGCACTACACAAAATTTGTTAAGGGAGAAAAATTCCTTAAGTATTCGGTCGGTCACTTATTTCTTTGTATGCACTTACTTTCTTGCTAATTTTCTCAGAGTCACAAAACTGATTGTCTAAAGCTGAGCAGAAAAAAAAAAGGGGGCACATCGCAGCACATCGCAGCACAACACAGCACAACATTGAAGAAAATAAAAATGAGAAAATGAGCCAGGGAGGGCAGAGAAACACCATAAAAGCGCCATGTCATCTTACCTTATCTTGGGACTATTTTAAAAGCATTTTTAGAAAAAAACCAGGAGAAATAGAATGCAAAAAATCAGACAGGGGAAAAAAGAAAAAAATGTTATGGTTGAATGAGTTACACATTTAACGTATTCCTTTTAAAATGTTACACTCAGAATACTTTGCTTAATTATACTTAACGTTCTTTAAAAAATATTTGCCTCTGAGCATAACATGAGTTGCCAATGTCAAAAATAAAAATGACTTACATATAATAGCAACGAATAATGGTGCAATCAAAATTAGAAGTGGAAAGGCCTGGAATTACCTTCAGAAAAAAATTATAGGAGACAATATTCTGGTTTCATATTTCACTGGATGTCAGTTGCTATAACTTTCTACATACTAGTGATTGATTCACAAAATGTGAGGAAGAGAAGGCTCCTAATTATTGCATTATAAAAGCTACAGAACAAGATACAAAGAATCCTGAGATCCTTTATGATTCTGCATATTTTTCAACTGTAATTTGTTGCTCTCTGTGATTATCTAAAATAGTGTATATTTTTAAAGCTGCTTTTCTTCTTGTTAATGACACCTGTTACAACTGAGTTTAAGGCCTTTTAAATATATATTTACAGAGACAAAGTTCTACTAAGTTATATGAGTTCAAAATTCTATTTTAAAAAGACTAGCTCGAAGAAAATCAATTCAATATCTGCACTGGCCACACCAACCACACTGAGAATAAACTCCAAGGTTTACTTTGTGGGAAGTGCCATTTACTATTAGACAATGAAACTTTTTACAACAGATTCTTAAACTATAGGAAAATGTCCTTAGGGCTCTGGCTTAGAAGGTTTAATTATTAGCTTTAAAATAACTTGACTGTCAGCAAACAGGCTGTTAATCCACACCAGGGGAAAAGAAGTCTCCAAATTCGGGACAAGGTCCTGTTTCTTTCAAATAGTGTAAGAAAAGTTTGAGTCAAGGTTTTCCACATACAAAAGTTTTACGCTTCAGTTTTAAGAACTGAATTTACCACTATTCCTGTCTGTGACTTCTGGTAAGTCATTGCTATACTAACAAGTCCCTTTACGAACAAACTAATGAAATAGTTTGGAAGAGATAACTTGATAATTTCGATAAATATACTTTTTTTCAAGGATGCTGTCTTTGAAGTCTCAATCATAAATTGATTCTTGTAGTCACAAAGAAGTATAACCAACCTATACACATATTTCTTGCTTATTTGCAATTAAGATTTTATTTCAATATGGAATAAAATTTAATTTTGAAACATTTGACCTGGATTGGTTCTCTTGTATCAGTGAGCTCATTTGTTACTATGCTTGAAGCATGACTACAAAACGTGGGAACGGATGAACAAACAATTAACATGTCCAATCACATGAAATTAAGGACTGAGAAAAAACAAAGGAAAACAGCAGAGCATGTGTATTTGAGAACATTTCACCAAGTTCACACCCTCATCCAAAGAGTACATTCTGGGATAATGTGGAAAATGAAAATGATGTGGGTTTATGGCAAATCATGGTTGTTTTAACTTAACTATGAAAAACAGCAACAATCAAGTACCTGGCAGAACGGGCTCCAAGACTAAAGCCCATGTAACCCTCTGCAGGCAGGGAATCATCACCCAATTCCTTAAGGTCCTGGGGCCCAAGATATTTGTCTGTGTCCCCTGTCATCGCATCTTCACCTGCAGATGTACAGAGCAAAACAAAATCAGAAGGCTCCCTTTTGAGTATATATCAGCTGTAGGAAAAAAAAAAAAAAACCCACATCTTATCTCATTTCCATCTTCCCCTAGCCACTGGATAATTTTTGTAACTGCCATTTAGGAAGAAGAAAAGCATAGGTAGAGGTTAGTATACAATTTCAAGAGTAAATTTAAGTAATGTATCCATCTCCAAGTGTTAAGTACCAATTTACAAACATTACTCCTAACTCCATCCTCCACCTTTTTGAGCCCCAGCTGCCCAGAAAGGTGGATCTTTTGCGTCAGAATTTTCCTCAGCTCACCCTTGATGAGGGCAGCTTGTTTGAACAGACAAGAATTGGAAAATGAGAGCTATCTCATTACTGCACTTAAAATTTTTGTGGGAAGGGAACAAGCTTTAAAAAAAAAAAAAAAAGGTTCTCTCACACACAGGATTTCAGTTTGGGGCTTATGTAACTAGCAAGTGATTTATGTGTGCTATAACTGCTCATTTGGGGGACTTTGGAACACATTAATTTTGAACTGTTTCTAAACCTATCAAATTAACAAACAAGCTGTCCCAGGGCTTGAAATCCACTTGGAAAGCAACTCTGTCTTCTACGGAGATAAAATGGGAGGGGGGGGGTATCCCGTAGTTTGAAAGGAGGACCATATAAATTGTTCTTAAAAGAGTTAATCACATAAAATAGTTTTACTAGCTACACATGGCTAACGTGACCTCACACAGAAAACCACATTCCAAGAGTGACAGGGCAGGTTTTTCAATTGTCTTTGCCCTCTGGGATGTTTCCCATCCTTCTCAAAATGTAGCTAAGGCTGTGAAAAAGTTCCTTCTACTTACAGGCAAACTCTCTTTCTTTAAGACCCTTTTTCCCTTTCTGGACACAAGCTTGGCTAGCCCAAAGAGATTCCCCAAGTGTGCATGTTGTGTTTTCTCAAAGGTAAGTGATTCATCCGCCACAGCCCTATTTTCCCACTCCATTCAGCACCCTTTACAATTTCCATTCATTTAAATTCAGGAAACCACCAGAGCTCAGCTTTTAAACTACCAATCAGGTCTAAAAATACACTGTCAACTACTGTTTTTGCAAATGTAAAAAACTAAACAGATCAACTTTCTACTGCTATCCAGTACCAAGAGATTATTTTAAGTAACAATTTACAGCTGGGCTAGTTGCATATTCATTGCATCTGAAACAAAACCAGCACATCCCAAGTACAACTTAAAGAAAAAGTTCTTACTCTGTGGTAAAGCCATTTCCACCAAGCTGGGCTGGTCAAATGTTTTCCTGATGTTTCCAGGAATTTCTTAGGCAGTGATTTAGAATCAACCTCCAAACCAGCCCAAGCAAACCAATCCCTGGGTTGGATCCACTCTCTTCACCACGGCTGCCGAGTTCCCCTCAGCATCTCGGTCTCCTCGTAGGCAACTGAGGAATCACACATCTTTTTCCCGCTCCTCAGAGTGCAAAGATTTTCAAAATTGCAGACAGAAAAAAAAAAAAATCTGGCGACACTTAATTGAGATTAAGATCCTTTTGATCCCTCCGCAGACATCCTTTTAAAGCGCCTTCTGATTGGATTAAGAACTCTTCTGGCAAGCCTCTAGCAGGACCGAATGGTGACATAAATGCAAGCCCAAGAGTTATTTGTATGTAAATATGAGGACTGCTCCGGTGTAGATTTTCCGTAATTTGATACCAGCGCTCAGTGGCTAGCTAACTGGGTAACTGAGACCGCTGGAAACGCTGGGAGAAAGCGCGAGGTGCTGCATTTAATTAGGAGGTGACTCTTCTCAGATATGAATGAGGCAACAGCCAACTCAGGTAGAGAGCAAAAACATTAGAAGAAAACAAAGAAGTTGCCCTGGTGGGGAGTGGCCAGGAGCTCCAGGCAAACTTTCAACTTTGTTCCTAGCTGGGAACACCAGGAGCCTCAGTTATTTATGGTCCCTGTCAGGTGGAAGGAGGGGAGAAAAGGAGAGAGGGAGGGCCTGCCCTTGAGTTGAGATTGTGAAACTGTGGCGCGGAAGCAGCTTTTGCAGAGCTCTCAAAGACGCGCCGAAGAACACACTTTTGCTCACCGTATTTTTTAAAATCAGGAGTTTGAAGAAGAGAGCAGAAGCCAGACGTGCTGGGGAAAGCAGCTGGGTGTTCTGCTCTATTTGTGATGCAAATTCAACTCTTTAATACTAGAAGCTCTTACTGGTTCTCCCTCCTTGAGAGGTCCTGCGAGAGGGAGCCAATCCCTTGGGAGGGTCCTGTTGGCTGGAGAGGTCACTGTCACCCCTTGGTAGGAGGCAGTGCCTAAGAGGTGTGGCTGCCACTTTGCTGTTACTTTGTGTCTTTGCTGGAACTTAAGGCCTCCCTTCCAGGCGGCTCCACCCTGTTTATGCTGACAATGAGGAAAAAATTAGCAGGGTTTCTTCATTCTTTATTTGGGTACACTGGAGAGGCCATTTCAGCCCCTACCCACCTAGCTGGAGAATTAGACTGGAAAGTAAGGGTTTTAAAACTGTCTTGAAGTAAGCTGCCTATGGCAGAGGTTTATAATAATGCGTGTACTCCCCCTTGGAATGTTACCTAAATGTACAGCAATTTGAATCTGTAGAGCTGATGCGGTGGCAAACAAATTTGGTTTTCCTGGGTAAATGAGTAAATGAACAAATGAATGACTCACAATATTAAAATATGACAGCTGCTGCTTTTATCTGATCAGCCTGATTGTAACCAAATGTAAATATACAGAAATAGAAGGGAAGCCTTTATAATGTCTGGTACATATTGAAAACCATTCCCAAGCAGAAGAATAATTTCCAATCTCTGTAAAGAGAGAGGGAAGCCACAGTTTAAGAGGAGTCATGTCTGATCATTAATCTGGTTTTTCACATCTAAAAAATAAACCAAACTACTTAGCAAAGCCTTTTTCAATGACTACCATTCATTCAAACCTCCAGAGCTCTTGGCCAGCCTTGACTCTGGTCACCCTGACACATCCACCCTGCCTGCCTGTTATAGCATTATTTCAGTCCCTAGAATTTCTTAAACTCAGACTTTGAACCTTTACACAGGGTGTACTTTCTGGATGAAATCTCTTGCTCTCTCTCTTCTCCAGCTAATTTCTCCAATCTCTGCCTCTTCCTAGCATCCCTCCCATCTCCTCTCATCATTTTAAGTGTGGGTGTGCCTTGTTAGAGTGTACTGCCAGTGAAAACACCTGTTGACTCTCTCCTGTTGCCTGGTGAGATCCTGGAGACTAGAAATCATCTTTTTCCAGGACCAGGCATATTTGAAATACCTTCATAGTTTTGGAATTCATGATGGTTAATAAGAGGTTCATTTGTTTTATTTTTATTTTGTAAATCTTCAAGTCACAGCAATTTAGCATTCTTTGCAAATTAAATGTAATGACTGGCATACAGTAAAGTTTCAATGAAAGTTGTTTCCATTATTCTTTACCCATCCTTCTTAAATTTCAGAATGGTCAGTATGAAACCAAAAGCAGCCCTGGATGGGGTGACCGTGAGAAACATCAATATATTTGGCCAAACATCAATACAGACAGCCTGATTATAGTAAAAAATATTTCTTTTAAAAGTATGAAATGGGGCTGGGGTTGTGGCTCAGTGGTGGAGTGCTTGCCTAGCATGTGTGAGATACTGGGTTCGATCCTCAGCACCACATAAAAATAAATAAAGTATTAAAAAATATGGAATGTAAAGATTAATGCAAAAGTATTACTTTAATGTAGTTTTTCACAGCCGGTGCTCTGGGTTCAAATCCAAGTTCCACCACTTATTGACTGGGTGACCTTTGAAATGCCATGTAACTACTCTGAGTCAGAGTTTCAAACTCTACAAAACTGGAATAAAATGGCTGTCCCTACTGTGATTTTCTGGGGAATTAAATAATGCACAAAGATCAGGCCTAATCAATACTGTGACTATTGTTCTATAACACAGCTTTCTCCTGTGCCCAAATATATGAACACATGAATTCATATAATTAGCATTTAAGCTGCTTCTATTTCTATGGGTAAAGGAAAAATCTGACCACAGCAGCAAACTGTCCCTTCACTCAATCAACTAATACAAGGCCTGTCTCATCATAGGTATTCAAAAATACTTGCTGATAGAATGAATGAATGATTGAACAATGACAATAAAATTGTCAGGCATGGTGGTACACACCTGTAAGCACAGCAACTCGGCAGGCTTGAGGCAGGAGGATTGCAAATTCAAAGCCAGTCTTGGCAACTTAGCAAGACCCTGTCTTAAAAAATTAAAAGGGCTGGGGATATGGCTCAGTGGTAAAACACCCCAGCTTCAATTCCCAGTACCACAAATATTAATAATAATAATTTACTCCTTTCAATAAGCAAAACATTCTATAATTATTGTATGCTATGATACTACTATTGCATAGATTAGAAAGGATTGAGATGAATTGTACTGAGTGACTTGTTAACTGTCTCTAATCCACTATATAACCCCAAAATATTTTGGTTAGTACTGTCTTCTAACAGGTACAAGTGTGTATAAGCCAGCCAATGTAATTCCATAAATGACACTCATTCAATGGAAGAAATGTTTAGTTAAAAATATGTATGTTATCAAGAGCCACATATGTTCACCATCCAAGAAGTATCTAGGTAGGTTTCTGTTTCCTAGATATGTTTGGGGCAGTGGAATAATAGTTGTGTTACAGGTTAAGTCTGACTACCTTTTGACAAAGAGGGTATGGGTAGCCTTTAAAGATGTCCTTCTACACCTACCTGCAATGACCCATGTTTGCTTCTTCCCATGTCCTTGCATATAGGCCTTACTTGGATCTGGGGTGGCTAGAGTTTTGAACAATAAAATTCAGGGAAAATGATTTCTTATGACCTTACAGGTCCTCTCTGAATCTTAGAACACTTGTCCGATGGAAGCCAGCTCAATGAAAGAAGTCTGATTACCATGATATTACTATATTATAAACAAGCTTGAGACAGGAACATGGAGAAATTTCTTGGACAGAGAACCAACCAGTCCTCAGCTTTTCTAGCCATCCTAGCAGAGGTGCCAGAGTTCTGAATAAAGTCAGCATCTTGGATACTTACTTACTGCTGCCTGTGTTGCAATCTGACTGCAATCTCACTGCAATCTCCTGAAAGATCTCAAGAGTCCAGCTGAGCCCAGTTAACAACAGCACCATCGGACAATATTAAATTTAATGCTTAGTTTAGAAATGGGTTATTACTTTGTAATAGGTAACCAAAACAGAGAAATGAGAAATGACAAGGTCCAAAGGTAAGTCAAAGAGGTCACACACTAGTTGCCTAATGCATCCCTAATAAATCAGAGTTAGGTTTCCAGCACATTATTTGATTAGTATAGACAAAGACCAGGAGAAGTACAGTGGCCAGTGCCTTAGAGAAGGTCTCATCTATTTAGTATTGACTTCATGCCTTTCAAAACTTTCATTGAGCCGGATGTCCTTATTGTTAATCCATTTATGTCAATAATATACCAGAACATAGAAAATGCTTTAAAGAGAATGCAGAACTCCTCAAACCTACCTTGAGCCCATCATTAAGCAATAGTAAAAATCCCAATGGAGGCATTTACTTCAATTTCTCAGCTCTCCCCCTTTTCCTACTCCTCTGTTATTTCGTGCTTAGGCTAGGAGAAAAGATTTCCTGTACTGTAACTAACCATTTATAGACCTGTAAACTTTGTCTATAGGAAAACAATACAAAATAAAATCAAGAACAAAGGAGAGAAAGAAAAAATAAACCAAATGATTATCAAGGGCTGTGAACCAAATAGGTCTACCCTCATTTCTTTTTAGATTTCATGTAAATGGTCCAGTAAGTGATATAAAACACTTCATCCAACTTCCTGGCAATCTTCACTATATCCTCTAATGATCCTTTTTTTATGACAAATAAAGAAATAGTTCTTAGCCTAATATTTATAAGTGTTTTTTTTTTTCCCCTAGGAGTTGTTCTTTTTTCTTTCTCCCCTCCTACCTTCCTTTCTGCGTGTAATTTGCTTCTAATCTTTTTCTACTTTAAGACCATTCCCCTGGGGGGAAAAAAAAAAGAAAGCAAAGAGCCAAAAAAAAAAAAATTGGTTGCTTTTCTAGGAATGAAAGGTGTTTTCCCAGCTGGTTGGAGACTTCATTCATAAAGTTCCTTAATATAACAAACTACATAATTAGAAATTTTGCTCAGAAGTGCTTAATTCTTGTCCTGTGAAATGCAGAATCTTCCCCAAATATGTATTTTGTGACATTAAAAGGTGAAATTATAGTACAAAACCTCCAAATTACATGAGGTTTTTAAAAGGTAGATTGGAAAGAATAATAAAACAACCTCTATACTCTAGTGATGTATTAGTTGGTTTCTTAATAGGACTCAGTAAATAGTCCTATACAGAAGTAGTTAATAATCAAACTCACACAACTTAATTTTACTGTTATTCTTTAAAAAATTGATTTTTGATTATATAGCAAAGAAAGGAAATGAAGATTACGGAGAAAATAAATCATTTAATCATTTCTAGTCTGTATCATAGGAAAGGAGAAAGAGATCAATCACATCATTATAATTAACACCAATATTTGTTGAGCATTTACTATGTTCTGGGCACTGTTCTTGGTGCTTCATATAAATGTGGGGGAGCATATAAATACACATAAACATATGTGTTATCTAATACTCATAACCTTATAAAATAGAACTGTTATCTTCACTTCAAGATCAAGAAAACCTAGTTTGCAATGACGGGATAAATAATCCAAGATCATTTAGAATAGCTGATCCAAGATCAGCTACTCAGGAGGCTGACGTAGGAGGATCACAAGATCAAGGACAGCCTAGGCAACTTAATGAGTCCCTGTCACAAAATTATTAAAATACCAGTTTTCACAGACCTAGGGAAGGCTAGGGATGTAGCTCAGTGGTAGAGTGCCTTGGGTTAAATCCATAGTAATGGTGGTGGGGGGAAAGTGGGGAAGACGGGATTCAAAATCAGTTGATTTGACTCTAGATCCCTATGTTTAACTACTGACGCATGCTGGATTTAGGGATTTTGCAAGTTTTGATTCCATATCCAGTGCCCAGAATAGTGCCTGGTGTATAGTAGGTGCTCAACAAATGTGTGGGATGATTGAAAGACCAGCGATTGCCTCTGAAGAACAACTATATTACTGGAGGGAGGGGGAGGGAGACTTACTTTTCACTGTACACTCTCGTACCTTGGGAATTTTGTACCATGTGCATCTATCACCTATTCAAAAAATGAATAAAATTAACAAAACAAAATACAGGGACTGCAGATAAATCATATGGGCTGTGTGTTCTGGCCACCAGAGATAGTATTATGTCATACATAAGCATGTCAGGAAGAGCTTAACATGTGCAACAGTATCAGTGGATGTCTAGTAAACATGGAGAGGAAATGCAAGATTTTATGATATTCTACCTTACTTGCTTCTGTAAGAGATGGAACAGAAAAAAAGGAAGTAACAAGACAAGGAGAAGGAGATGCATGTTGTTTATGTGTGCTTTCTGGTAGCTTCCCTGTGTTCTAAAGCAATAGCTCTCAAGCTGTGGTGTGCATCAGAATCATCTGAAAATTTGCATTCCTAACAAATTCCCAAGTCATTCTGAGGCTGCAGGTCTAGGGACCACACTTTGAGAATCACTAGTTTAAAAGAATTTTACAAGTACATGAGAGTTACCTAATGGTAGTATTGACTGTCAGGATTATCTGTTTTGCAGGTGGGAATTAACAGAATAATTAAAATACCAGCTTCAGCCATGGAATTCAGTAACTAAATTCCAATACATACACATTATTTATATCAGCTAGGATACTTGTTAAACCGCAGATGACAACTCCACAGGTCTAGGGAAGGCCCTTAGTTTTGGCACATGTAATCAACTCTGAGGGGACTGCAGTGTTGCTGGTCTGCAAACCAATTTAAATATTCAGACAGTATAGCCAACTATTGCCTTTGAGGCACTTAGTCTCCAGTAAAGAATAGGCCACACGTGATAACAAACATTGTACTAGTAGTATTTAATGCTGAGTGACAGACCAAGCATGTTTTAATGTACTCATTTGATTCCCAACCCTATATTACTCTCAGTCCCCTTTTATAGACAAAGAGGAAACATATTCAAAGAGGTTAACTGACTCTTTAAAACTCATATGTTGGCAGGATGTGGTGGTGCACACCTGTAATCCCAGCAACTCAGGAGGCCAAAGCAAGAGGATTGAAAGTCCAAGGCCAGCCTCAGACTCCGTGAGACCCTCAGCTACTTAGCAAGACCTTGTCTCCAAACAAAAATAAAAGGGACTGGGGATGAAACTCAGTGGTAAAGTGCCCCTGGGTTCAATCCCCAGTACCAAATAAATAAATAAATTCCCTTAAAAAAAAAAAAGAAAGGAAAAAAAAAAAAACTCATGTTAAGTCACGGGCAGAGTCTAGGTTGGAACCCATCCAGTCAGGTTGCAGAAACCAATTCTTAACCACTACACCACCATGGCAGAAGAGCAGCAGGAGAAACCACAAACTATTACAGGAGCTCCATGGACTGCTCGATCAAGTAGATTGGGTAGAGGCTGATGGAGGGTGTGCGAGTTAAGCTAGGTAGAGAGAGTGAAAATGGGAAGTTGGCTATTCCCAGAAGAGGACACAGTAAAAAAGGGAAGGGATGGGGATGTTCTGAGAATAGCAAGCCAGTGGCTTCATTGAAGTGAGAGGCAAATAAATGAGCTGGTTGGACCATTTCTTTAGGACCCTTGGAACTGGATTATAGAGGGACAACTGCCATCCCAGTGACCACAACATATGGCCATCAGTGGATGGAAATGCAATTATTTTGTTGACTTACTCTTTTTTAAAACTGCAGATTCACACTCTCGAAGCTCTTCCCCATCCTCTTATGCTATCCTGCCCTAATTCTAATCCTAAAACAGGAAGCAGGACAGTTGCATCCATCTGACACAAAAAGAGGAAGGGCCATTTACTGGATTCTACTCCAGTTATTGGTGTAAATGCCTCATATACGCTATTTCTTTCCATCTTTAAAGCAGCCCTGTGTGGTATTAGCCCCTTAAAAGGAGTTAATAATGAGAAATAAGATCTAACATGGGGCTGGGGATGTGGCTCAAGTGGTAGCGCGCTCGCCTGACATGCGTGCGGCCCGGTTCGATCCTCAGCACCACATACAAACAAAGATGTTGTGTCTGCCGAGAGCTAAAAAAGAAATAAATATTAAAAAAAAAAAAAGATCTAACATGTTTTTACTTGCTGAAAGTTCAAATAAGGGACACAAAAATATAGATAACTTCTAAGAGGAACTTTTTCCATTAAATCAAAAGCTCAGTAGAAAGATTTATCTCTTTCATCCTACATTTAGACAATAAATTTTCAACTCAGAGCATCCAAATGACTATATTTGCTCACAGGACTTTTCCCTTGATCTTCTGGTATTTTCAGTCTCAAAAAAAGCAAGGAAATAGAAGTAGGAAGGAAGAGGAATACAGTAGGATTAGTGCCCTGATCCATTCAAATTTAATTCTAAAAATTCTACCCTAAAGTCAAAGAGAAAGTTCCTTAGATTCCAGATCTGTATTTCTCCTTTTGTTTTGCAGTTTAGAGCAGGAGCCTAGGTAACTAAGGTTACTGTGAAGATTTTGAGAGGTGATAAAAGGCAGGAGGTGATGTGTGGAGGGTGGAGGATGGAGCTGTGCTATCAATTTCAAGAGGACCCTTGTGTTCCAGGGACTTCTGCATCAGGCTGGAAGACTGTGGGGAGCTACAGCCCAGTTCACTACTCAGGGACCTTCTGGTGTGATAGCAGGCTCAGAGAAAAGCTGACAGCCTCAGGCTCAAGCTAAAGAATATGGCAGTTGCCCTCCTGCTGGGTGCTTGACTCGGCCTTTCCCCTCCTCAGGAATGAGAAGAGGAGGGTACTTCACTTTAACCCTTCATTTCCCATCATCTCCTTGCAGCAATCCTTGTTCTTTCAAAATAAAATTAAGACTGATCTATAATACTATTCTGCTTTTCTTCTCAAAATAGGTGATAACTATGGGGTAAGTTTAGAAAAAGTTTAAATGAGCCGCGAGTGCGATAGGTGACTTGTAGGAGACTGAAGAATCATGTTATCTTTTAAGATTCATGGACCCCTGTGGGACCACGGCTTCCGTCTTCTTTCCTTCCCGCAGCTATCAATGCTCATTAGACCCTGGCTGTGTAGGTGGCCAAAAAAAGAATGGGATTTGAATGGCACCTCTCAAAGGACATACCGCTGTCATCCCATGGAACTAATGATTATAGTCAGATTAATTTTTTTTTTTAAAGTGCAAACTCAATTTCATTCCTAAACATTATTCTGCTCACTGTGGCTGGATGTGCCTCTTTTTAAAGAAGTGTATGGCCGTTTACTGCTCCTTAATCCTGGCTAGTTTCTAAAGTAAGCATGCGTGACTCAGTGCTGGAACTTTTCCAGACGTAGCAATGAAAAATGTCCCCTGTGATCTTGGTTAATAAACAAACCCATCCCAGAAAATAAAAAGGATCCAGGGTTCGTCTTTTCAAAGACCTAGAAAAAGATAAATGCTAAGACAGACACTACAATTTGTTTTCATATTCTTATCACTACTTCTTAACCCTGATGTAGAAATTCACTCTAGTCAGCTAAGTGGAATTAGACATTCCCCTGACTTGGTCATTTAAGCACCTAAGGACAGAGTACAGGTTGAAAGGAGGACAAGATTATCCACCCTGCTCCCATTACTGAAAATCCAGGCCATTTGTAAAGAAGACTAGATAATGAATCGACTGGCCACAAACTAGTCCTGTGAAATTAGGCACTAAAATGTTGGTTCTAACAAGCAGATAAATGAGGAAGCTAAATTCAAGGCAGCAGTGTCTTGGCAATGGGTTTCTTCTGTTTATTTTTTTCTTTAGTTCATCATCTAGCTTCAACCCAAACCAAGACCTCATTGTCTCAGCTGTTCATTAGCTAGGTATATAAAACTGTGTACAGTACAGGAACTTGTTCATTCTTCCCTTGTAGATACTTTCAAAGAAGTATCAGAAGCTAGGTGTGGTCGTATATTCCTGTAACTCCAGCTAAGGCAGGAGGATTGCAAATTTGAGGCTGGCCTCAGAAACTTAGCAAGACTCTGTCTTAAAATTAAAAACAAAACTGGGGATGTAGCTCAGTAGTTAAGTCTACCTGAATTCAATACCCAGTACCCCCCCAACCCTCCCCACCCCCCAAAAAAGGTACCAGGGGCGCTTTGCTCAAAGAGGGATGGAGAGAGGGAGGGAGGAGTTGGGGGAAAAGAGAGACAGACAGATTTGTTTTTCTTTCCGTGCTAGGGATCAAACCAGGGTACTTTATCTCTGAGCTACATCTCTAGTCCCTTTTAAAAAATTTGAGGTAAGTTCTCCATAAGTTGCTGAGGGCCTTAAACTTGTGATCCTCCTGCCTCAGCCTGCCTTGTTGGGATCATAGGCATGCACCACCACACCCTGCCAATGTGTATATTTTGTAGGCAAGGACTTGACCTCTTTTCTTATACCCAAATGTCCATGACTAAAGCCAGGCAATAAACACCCATTTATTGGTGGGTTTTGTTTCTAATCAATACCCCAAGGACATTCACATTCAAGGTAGTCATGTGGGGTCTCTTCCCAGTTCTCATCCTCATTGGGGTTCTGGCCCAGGTGATCAGGATCCCCTCCACTGCTCCCAGCTGTCTGCCCACCGCCCCACCCTCTGCCCATTCATTCTCAGTTCTGACATTCCCTGGGTTTACCTTTCTTCTCTCTGTAGTAAGGATACTAATATGAACAGGAGGGATGAAAAGTGGATGAGGATCTACTTTCACATGAGGCAGGTCAGACTTTTCAGGTGGATAGACAGAAGCAGAAATTATTTCAAAGGGAAATGGCACATTCAGAATTACACCTTGTAATATGGGGGGAAAAAACCAGCCTGTTGACTAAAGTAAATAAGGACACTAGGACACTTAACTCCCTGCCATCTCTTACTTAAACATTCCACAGGTTGCTTAGCTCTCAGCTAGAACAACAACAACAACAACAAATGCATTTCTGGTCTGACCTTCCTTGCCCATACAAGGTCTATGTGCTCTTCCCTGTGTCTCTATCCATG